ATACCCTTTTATCAGGAGCTCATAGCTTTATCAGATACAGCCTTTTAGACATGATGTAGCCCAATATATAGCTTAATTCTATGAATAGATCTTTTTGATTCCATAGTGTTGTCACAATTGAAGTTGCATATTGCAATATAAGAAAGTTTTCAAAATACACATTATGAACCACAGAGGCATTTGGATAAAACATTCAACTGTAATTTGATTTGGGCTCATGTACTCCCTTCTCTGCTTCTTGGTTTGTCATTGAAGAGATGATTAGAAGCATTTTGAGTTTTTTGTAACTAGCCACATTTTTTTTTTTTTTTTGTTATAATCTTACAGTACTTATCTGGCTTGTCTGGGTAAATCCAACTTTAAATTGTAATCTACAGTTCTGAACTTTGAGATTAAAGTTAGATTTAGAATTAATTAAAAGTCTTTATTATTCAAAAGCAATGGTGGCTTTTAAGTCAGAAGTATACACTTTTGATCTTTATGTGACCATCAAGGAAAGCAGTCAGACTCATGTACAGACTAGTCATTATGATTAGCAGGGCATCTGAAAAAGAAATTATTTTTTCTGTTGACATACAACTTTAGAACATCTTTTAAAGACAGCAGCTTTCACTGTACAAATTAGCTATTTCGAACTTTTGAAACCACAGATCCACACAAATGCAAGAAATTCAATTCCTGTGGATTCACTGCTTGTCTTCCATTATTTGATAGTACATTCTGATACAATTCCATTACATTCCCATGACACAAAAGCTGTAGTGATATTTCACAAATCTTCCAATGGATCATTCACCCACAAAGGTGTTGCATATCATTTTGTGCCTTAATGATAGAAATCTGCAATTACTGGATGAATAAAATGTTTGCAACTAGTATTAGGATGGAAGCATATACGGTATGTTTATTCTGAATGGTATTATGTTTGATCCCACTGTTAAAAAGCTAACAAAAGTTTGAAGTTTCATTAGGCTCACATTCCTATTCTTGGGAGTTTTCCACAGTGATTCAGTTAACGCACAGTGATTCATAGCTTTGTTTAAAAAAATGTTTGTACAGAATTGTTTTCTACTCTTGTAAATCCCAAGGGAACCTTAAGGTATTCCTTATATATGGAAAGATTTGTATAATGTTTTCTCCTGTTATTTTATGAGCCAAAGTTTACTTCTTCAGTAAGTACTGTAATAAAATCATTCTTTTTGGCAACTTTTCGTCTATGTTGATCTTCATTTAAAGGTGACTAAACAAGGATATTAAGGTTTTCTTCATGCAACTGGTTGCAGTGCTATTTTTGTTGTTATCTAATATAGGTAGTCCTTGATTTACGACCATAATTGGGACCAGAATTTCTGTTGCTAAGCAAATCTGTTGTTAAGTGAGTTGTGCCTGGTTTTACAATCTTTTTTCCCATGGTTGTTAAGAAAATCACTGCCGTTAAGTGAATCATACTATCATTAAGCAAATCTGGCTTTTCCTATTGATTTTCCTTCTCAGAAGTCATTTGGGAAATGTTGCAAATACATGCCAGTTGCCTCATAATCGTGGGGATACAGTGATGGTCGTAAGTACGAGGACTGTTCAGAAGTCACTTTTTTCAATATCTTTATTTTGAACGATACCAAATGAATGGTTGTAAGTCGAGGGCTATCTGTGCAGTCTTAGTTCTCTCCGGAGTAAAGAAATAATAGAGCTAACAATTTGGGATTCATTTAATATAACCATCCCTGACATGATGGGTTGTGAATCCAGCTTCTGAAATTCCAAGATTGCATGGCTGAATATCACATTTAGAGTCTTGCAATTTCAATGATGCTGAAGGAGTGGGGGCTGCTGATTTAGCAGATCAATATCTTAAAAGACATGTTAACTATCCCATCAGTGCTTAACCAATTTTTTAATGGTATTGGACTGCATCATATTCATACAAATCTCAAAGAAAGTATTAATTAGCAAGTTAGTCGGCACTAACAGAAATCCTATTGACTTTGGTGGCTTCATCCTGTTGGCTTCATTTAAATATTACAAAATCTGTATCCAACCCTTGTATTCCTGGGAATGTTGATTAGGAAAAAGGGGTATTGAATAATGGATTCAACATCTCATAAACATACATACTAAATGCTAATATAAACAATGACTGATTTTTAAATTTATGTTATTTATTTAAACTAGAGATTATATGAACTACCAATAAAGGAGAATATATATGAACTAGAAAGTTATCAGATGAAAACAGGTACACTATACCATGCATACCAGCAGAATTTAGGCAAATTTATTTTCTTTCTTTATTGAACAGGGATTATTTATTTATTTATTTATTTGATTGCTTGATTGATTGAACAAAGGCATTTATTTTCTTTCTTTATTGAACAAAGGGATAGGTGACAGAATACTGACTTAGAGGATTAATAGTCAAGTTAATTATAAGATTCTCTATTTCTTTTTGGCTCCTTTTTCCTACCCACTCATTCTTTATCCAAACTAAATGAATAGTTATATTCTTTATATGCTTAATTTTTTTAAAAAAAATCATCCATTCACAGATCGTATTAAACCTGAAACCTTGCTTTTCACTAAATCAGTTTAACTGAAATATTTAAACACAAAGATGTTATACCACAAAATTTATGGTACTTTAATTTCTTTGCATCCGTGAAGAAAACAATCCATTTGGGGGATTGTAAAAATATCCTAATTCTTGCATCCATCTATCATAAAATACATAAATCCTTAAAATGAAATCCAAAGAGCATTACTTCCAAGTTACCTTAACAAATGACTCTAGAACAGCAGTGTCAAACTCACAGCGTCACATTGCCATCACGTGACGACTTTTTTTCACTTCACTAAACCAGGAGTGGGCGTGGTCAGTGCATGACGCATTCCGGCTTGCAGGCCGTGAGTTTGAGTCCCCTGCTCTACAATGTTGGACACCAGCAATAATCACTAACATGCTGTGGGAAGCAGTTGGCTAGGTGAATGAAGAAACTGAGTTCTGAAAGTGCAGATTTTGCAAGTGTATTTATCTAGGGTTTTTTTAAAAGCCATTTCCTGCATGAAAAATGGAGAAGAGGAGCAGATGTTGTTCAAATCATTAATTCAACTTTCATTTTTCATTTGGAAAGAATTTGGGAATGATTTGCAGGTACTTCAAGTTGCTTCTGTTAGGCCTACTTTAAATGTTTTCAGACTTGATTCACATGTTCCTTTAAGGCTTGGTCTTTCCCTCCACTTGCTTTGTTTCCCTTTTAACTTGTATAAGGAAATTAATGGAAATATGAAAAGGGGAAGCATCAGAAATCAAGGTGATACTCTCAGCAGCTTCTTCAAAGACCTCATTAACACCCTCCTAGCCCTCTCCAGGAGCTCTCTTAACAAGAATACAGCCTCAGAATTAATTTTAATTATTTTTTTAAAAACCAACTTATAGTTGCTGTAATGATGACTTTCTAGTGATGGTTTAAGTTGAATAGAATAGAATAGAATAGAATAGAATAGAATAGAATAGAATAGAATAGAATAGAATAGAATTCTTTATTGGCCAAGTGTGATTGGACATACAAGGAATTTGTCTTGGTGCATATGCTCTCAGTGTACATAAAAAGACAAGATACACTCATCAAGAATCACAAGGTACAACACCCAGTGACATACAGGATACAGTATGGGCATACTGTACAATAAGCAATCAAATCATACTAGGAAACAATACCAATATAAATCGCAAGGATACAAGCAACAAAGTTACAGTACAATACAGTACAATAAGCAATCAAATCATACTAGGAAACAATATCAATATAAATCGCAAGGATACAAGCAACAAAGTTACAGTCATGCAGTCACAAGTGGGAGGAGATGGGCAACAAAAACAATGAGAAGACCAATAGTAATGCAGCCTAATGTGAATAGTTTGACAGTGTTGAGGGAATTATTTGTTTAGCAGAGTGATGGCGTTTGGGAAAAAAACTGTTCTTGTATCTAGTTGTCTTGGTGTGCAGTGCTCTATAGTGTCGTTTTGAGGGTAGGAATGAAACAGTTTATGTCCAGGATGCGAGGGGTCTGTAAATATTTTCACAGCCCTCTTTTTGACTCATACAGTATACAGGTCCTCAATGGAAGGCAGGTTGGTTGGTAGTAATTGTTTTTTTCTGCAGTTCTTATTATCAGTTTTATTTATTTTTTATTATTCATATTTCTATGCCGCCCACTCTCTGAGGACTCTGGGCGGCTTACACCAAAGACAGTATACTAAATAGCATATTGCCCTCAACAATCTCTGTCCTCATTTGAAAGGATGGAAGGCTCAATCAACCTTGAGCCGGTGAGATTTGATCCGCTGATCTGCTGAAGTCTGTGTCTGTCTTGTTTAGTTGCAGAGCCAAACCAGACAGTGATGGAGGTGCAGATGACAGACTCAATAATTCCTCTGTAGAACTAGATCAGCAGCTCCTTGGACAGTTTGAGCTTCCTGAGTTGGCGCAGAAAGAACATTCTTTGTTCTGCTTTTTTGATGACATTTTTGATGCTAGGTGTCCATTTTAGGTCGTGAAATATGGTAGAACCTAGAAATTTGAAGGTCTCTACTGTTGATACTGTGTTGTCCAGTATTGTGGTAGAATGGGAGGGTTTCTTCTAACGTCCACCACCATTTCTACGGTTTTGAGTGTGTTCAGTTCCAGATTGTTCTGGTCATACCACGAGGCTAGTTGTTCAACCTGCCATCTGTATGCGGATTCATCATTGTCTTAAATGAGACCAATCAATGATACAGATTTAGTTTAACTGTTCATTTAGTAGAGAAAATATTAGAGGATGGTGGAATTTCTCATAGTAGCTAAACAAGTACATGGACATCAGATTCTGTATTCAGATGGATTCATTTGCGAGTTAAGTACTAGCTTCGTGGCTCCCACTTTAACTCATCTTTTTGCAAGAGCTATTAAGAGGGAATTTCTTCAAGCTCTGATGTTCTTTTCCTTTTTTGTCTTCAATAGAGTTTACAGATGTTGCCTCAACAACGGAAGGCCATTGCAAAATTTAAAGAGCCCGCTGATGCTTTAAAATTTCAGCAGAAGTTTCATAGGTAAGTATTATGCATAGGTTTTAATCTTATATAAATTATTTTGCATTTCTCAGTGTTAGATGTATTACAGTATTACAATCCCATTATCTCCAATCAATCTGATAAAAAAGGCAAGTTGCTGCTTAACACAGCAATAGGGAAAAAATAAATTTAATAAGTTAATAATAAATACTAAAGTACAGCATTAAAAAGTTATTTTTTTTTTACCATTATATAAAGACCTGTTTTCTTTAGATTGGAGATGTGTTTAATTTAGACCTGATTCATCATACTGATGATCATACTGAAAGTAAACCTTGGACCCCTGTGTTCAGTTCTTTGTTTCTTTATGTCTCACTACACATTTTTCCACAGTGATATTTGTCTTTAAGCCACAGTTTTCCATGGCATCATTTTATGTACAATGTACAAATCAGGATTTCAGATTATATTTTGTGTTAGGGGGTCTCCAAACTTGGTAAACATTAAAGCTAGTGGACTTCAGTTCTCAGAATTCCTTAGCCAGCTATGCTCAGTCAGCATAGCGATGCTGGCTGAGAAATTCTAGGAGTTGAAGTCCACAAGTCTTAAGTTACCAAGTTTGAAGACCCGTGTTTTGTGTCATGATCTGTAAGCAGAATATAAAGAGGATTCAAATTCTGGAAACTATAGTTTAACAAGCCAATGGCTCTGTGAAAAAGTTTGGTGCTTGACTAAACTGGGTCCAGAATATCTGAAGAACTGTCTTGCCCCAATGGGTTGTGTTCTGGCAGAAGAGGCCAACTGCAGATTCTGACAGCCAAGGAATCTTGGCTGATGGGCTCTAGGAAAATAGCCTTTTCCGCTGTGGCCCCCACACTTTGGAACATCCTGTCACCAGAGGTGAGATCCACCCCACCTCCTTTTTCTGATCTTCCAAAGGGGACTTAATACCTGACTCTGGTGGTAGCTGTGAAGAAACTTTAGGGTGGCTGTGCAGTTGTAGAAGAAGGCACCAACTCTGTCCTGTGTGAGCCCTTGGGTTTTTTATTCTATTTAATTTTTGAGGGGTCCTGGGTGCTCTGAGCTTGCTTATTTTTTTTGCAGACGTTTCATTACCCAAACTAGGTAACGTCATTAGTGCTAGCAAGGAGTGCTGTTTGCTGTCAGTTTATACCCTGGTGGCTTGCTTGTCTGTGAGGGTGGGGGTGTCTTAGAGATTCTTTGTTTGGGTTCTTTGGCAGTTCCTTGATTGGGGAATTGCTTACTTGATTGTAGGTCTGAAGTTAACCTTGGAGTTAATCTATACTGATCTTTGTGCCAATTACTGCTGGAGAGATGCTGGAGTCTTTTGCTCTTTTGGGCTGGTTGATTGTCTCTTTTGCATAGTCTGTAGATGTTGTTCATGTCTATGTGTCTATTGATGGCTGATTTGTCAGAGTGCCAGGCTTCTAGAAATTCCCTGGCATTTTTGGACTTGGCCTGGTCTAGGATTGTCATATTTTCCCAATTGAAACTGTCGTTAAATCTGTCTACATATTGTGGAATTAAATAATTTTCATCATGTCTTCTGACTGCCAGTTGGCGTTCATGGATGCGTTCAGCCAGTCTTCTGCCTGTTTGTCTTATGTAGTGGTTGTTGCAGTTCTTACATTGCATGTTGTAGATGACTCCTGTTTTTTCTTCTGGGGTTGCTGGGTCTTCTGGTTTGCTTAGGATGTTTTGAAGGGTTTTAGTTGGCTTGTGTGCTACACTGATTCCATGTGGTTGTACGAAACTATTTGTGGTTTCTGAGATATTCTTTATGTATGGCTGTGTAACTCCTTTTAGGGTTTATGTGGTCAAGGACTTTTTGATAAAGTTGTGTGAGTATCCATTTGTTGGAATGTGTTGAATAGTAATGAAACATCTGCAAGAAAACAAGCAACCTCAGAGAACATTAAGGACCTCTTGTTTCAACCCTGAGCTACAAATATTCTCCTTTATTGGTATTTAATTTTTGTAAATTTAACTATTCCTACATTTATAGTTGCTTTTATATTTCTATTTTTGTTGCATTGTAAACTGTCCAGAGTTGACATTGGCAGCATATCAATCAATCAATCAATCAATTAATTAATCTGACTGAAACAACCCAATCTTTTTATAGTTTGAGGAATACTGGCTTAGAAAATTTGGCTACCTCTGCACTATGCCTAAAATGGGGAGAAAGTGTGTAACTAAATATGTTCCTCATCCATTCAAAAATACATCTGCCTTAAATCATTATGCATTCATCTTTTTTCCAGGCACATGATAGATCTTTCCCATATCAACGTGGCACTGATAGTGGAGTGACCACTGGGCATAAGTTGTCTTAAAATACAGGAGGTTATGGAGGAAGTCAGAAGGATAGAATCTCCCTGTAATTTCTGGTGCCAGCTTTGCAGACTCCTTCTGAAACTTCAAAATTACTCTGACAGCTGCTGTCAACAACAACAACAACCTTGCTACAAATGGAAGTTGGATTACAAGAATGAAAACATACATATATGGAACATACAGAACTACAGATCTCATATGTGAATAGTATACACGGATATTTTTAGGCGATATGCTATGTGATCACAATGTCTTGGATCAAAAGAACTTTGACTCTTGAAAATAATTTTTGTAATGTTTTCTTCTTAGAAAAGAATATTTGATAATGGTTGCCCTTATCTTCAGTGTGGGATGTTGAAATCAGAATGCACCCATAATCTACTGTTTGTAGCTAAGCATACAGATGCCTATAATACAGAATAAACATTGAGCCATATAATTTAATGGGTTTTTTTTTGTTTTTTTGTTTTTTTTTTCCAAGAGGCTTTGAAGCTCGTTCTTGAAAGATTTTATTCCTAGTATAGTAAAAGTAATAGTTGCACATAAAGTATACCTCTTAGTATTCCTAACATTTCTTACTAACCCTATTTTGGACAAATTGTCTCCTAGTTGATGTCCTTACCTAAGAAGGATGCTCGCATTCAGGTTCCAAAATCTTGGAGCAACCTGTCTTTCAGCCTTCTCTCGTGCTTCTTAGAGGGCTTGTATGGCCAGGAAATAACTGGGGTTTGCTAGTATGAGAAAGTTACATATTCAGGAAGAGGAGATTCATTTTGCTTAGGCTTTTGGGGAAGTGAGTTACTGGTATTGAGCTTCTTATTTTAATTATTTTTTCTTTCTGTGTAATAATTGGCAGTAATGCTTGATAACAGTAGAGTCTGCCAAATCATACTCTAGTGCTATTCCCACACCACCTGGTGAATTATGAAGATATTTCCATTCTCAGATTTTATTTTACACTAAATAAACTTTCCTTCAAAAAAAAAGACACGACACCATTCCCTGCTTCCTTTGATTTGTGAGAATTCCCTTTACTGGAAATCTTAGAAATCTATTCAATTTCTATACATTTCAGGCCAATAAACATAGAGCAAATAAAGATTATAAGTTACATTGAGCATATAGAAAAATAGTTAAGGGATGTTCTTTCAGGACTGCAGGTTATGTGACATTCGGAAGTAGTGATATTTCTTTTCTAACTATTCAGAAACAGATTCTGAAAAACAAGAAGGCTTTTAAAACTGTGTTCCTGGTTAAGAACATGTGGGAATCAACAATAAAGATATGCAAATATATCACGTCTTTTAAAGACAAAGCTGATTTTTTCCCCCCTACTGGTAATAATTACAGCTTATAGCATTTTGGTATAGTATAGGGTATGAAGATACGTTAGACATTTTAATGATAGTTAGTAAAAACCATCTTCATCTTTGCGAAGTATAGCTTGAATTTGACTATACCAGAGAGGTCTTTATTATTTACAGCTCTTAATTTGAGTTTGTTAAAAAAAACAAAACAACCTGGGATTTTAGTTGATGGTGCAATTTAGGCTAGTTTCTCTGTGCTTAGAATTGTGTTAAAAACACAACAATCCCTCAGAGTTGGGAGAGAGAGAGAGAGAGAGTATTATATCTTTGTCCATCCCAGAATATGATATCGTCTTTCCACAAAACTAAGTTTTTAGGATTTAATATTTAAAGTGGTGTTTTTTTAAAAATATCTTCACCGCATGGTTCAGGTACAGCTTAAATGCAATAATGCCTGCCAAAGGGGGAATTTTATAATGCCCAAACTCTACATCACATTTGAGGTCTGAGGAAACTTTCATTTCTTATGTCAATAAATCTTTGATTAGGCTGGATGACCTTTTCAACAGTTTAGGGTATTTTAAGGACAGTGTTTAATTAATGCTTTTAAGGCTTACCGCTTGAGGAATCTTCCGTGGTGTAGCATTTAAAATAATGGTGTGGACTTTTGTATGCTTTGTCTGAGGCCCATCTCATACACATGATGGCAGGTGTCTTGTGGGTGTATAATACGCTCACCATCTTGGTAGAGGGGATTCTCTGGGAAAAGGGGAAGAAGAAGAAGTGATTTTTTTTTTCTCTATCTTCGTAGTAAGCAGAAGGAAAACTGTCCTATCATTGATGGGCATCAAATCTCTCACTTGAATTGTCTATAGATACTACAATACCTCAACTGATTAATACTAAATTAGAGCTGAGTTTGACATGATCACAGTAACATTGGTCCCTAATTTTGAGATGCCTTCCACAAAAGCTAATCACCGTAAAAATAGGAGAGCCTGTTCTTTCCACAATGCTTCCTGAACTATCCCCACATCTTTGGTAGAAGATCTGTTGCAACCATTATCTTGTTCTTTCTTTATCATGTGTTATTTTAAAGATGCAAAATGCAGTCACGGCATTTAATATATTGTGTAAATACGAGACTTTAAAACAAATTTAAATGAAGCTGTTCACATATTACTAATTTAGTTACACAAAAGCTTATTTGGTGGGAAGGGGAGGAATGCAGTTGTGTTGTTTTATCAGAGTTGAATGGAAATGGTTCCATGTTGCTGTTATTATTGCTATTATTATTTGTGTAACTCTTCCGTTTTTATAAAGATGCCAGTTAAGTCAATACATGTATCTTGACCTGTGTATTATTTGCTCTGAAACTTCGAAAGCATACATTTGGTATAGATGTTTAGCCAGTGACCACTGTATGTGGAAACTTTTTTCTCTTATAGAGATAATTTTCATTTAATTTGGCAACATTTTCCAGGTCAGTTTAGTTTTTCTACCCATGCCAATGATAAGTGCAGTCAAGTTAAGTGTGATGTTGAATATTAATAATTTTATAGTTCAAAGCTAAATGGCCACTATCATATTCATTAATTCATGCACTTTTAACATTCATTTTGGACAAGGTTGGATAATTTTAATTTCATAAGAAATAAAAGATAATCCTGTAATGATGTTTTTGTGCAGGCTAAAAATGAGGGTGATTTTCTCTTGGTTTAACGCTCATGAGAAGATTATAGAATATCATCTCTATATAACTATTTATGTTTTACACTTCTTCAGATTTTCAAAAGTTGTTCTGAAATGTTGGTCATAAAGGAGGGATGTTCAGCAGAAGTCAAATTTATAATTATTAGAAATAAATTTATAGAGCTAGGACCGTAAAACATACAGGGAGAGCCAGACTGTATAGAGATGGATGCACCAACTATTTGTAGATTGTATCAAACCAGGTTGTTTGAACAATTGAACCACTGTTGACCAAGTATTGTCCTTTACCTCTAAGTGCTGGTATGAATTATGTGGCAAGAATATAGAACATTGTTGAAGATACCGAGTATGAGTTACATAACAACGAAGCCTTGTATATCAATTTATTTATTTATTTATTTTATTTATGCTTCATATTTCCAGACCACCCATCTCCCCTAAAGAGTGAGTTTAGAGTGAGCTGATCAGCTTTCTAGGAAAATGCCAGCATAACATGACATTTCTCCTTCATTCTTCTCTGGTTTCTTGTTTTTCCAAAGGTGGCCCAAATGGTGAAACTAAGGGATTGCTGTATTTGTTGCCAGCAACTTACTTTAAATGGTATAAATGAATATTTCATCACCAAGAGGGCTCACACACCAAACATAGCAATCACAGAAGAAATGAAAACATAATGTTACCTTTGACACCTTTCAAAATAAGAAGTGATGCTGGAAACTCTTCATAGTTGATCCAAAGGAATTTTGGCAGCTATTAATCCTATAGAAACATTTACTTGAACCAGGAAGTCAGATTAATTACACTATCTCAGAGGTACATTTTAGATGTTAGTTTACTTATTCTATTTATCTGATATAGCCCCGTTTCAGTTTTCATGATTTTATTCATGGACTCTGTATCTTTTATTTGGTGGCACTTTTTAGATCTTTTTATAGGCATTCCTTAGTATTAGGAAAACTAATAAGACAGGCTTCCTATCCACAACTTTCCAGTGTAGATTCTTAATATCTTTTCATTAATTAGGTTGTCAGTATAACATACATATGGATGGGCTTCTTCTTTTCTCCCCCCCCCTTTAAATGCCTTTCTCACTGTCTTCTGAGCTTTATTTTGCAGCAGCCATTTTGGACAAAAAGAAGGGTTGGAGAATTCTTTTAATGGCATCCAAGGTAGCGCAGTTGGCTTTTAAAGCCATAACATACCTCTGAGTAGCATGGTTGAGGTATATCTGAATTAAGGTCACCATGAAATAGCAAAGACCCATACTGTTTACCAAAGTATTGCATTTGTGAAGTATTGCAAACTATTTTAAATCCTAAGGATTTTGTGTAAGGTTTATTGTAACCTATTTATTATATACATATATATATATATATATATATTTAATAACTTATTACTGGTATGGGCCTTGGGCCCTAATGTACGGAACATTGATTCATATTGGATCTCATGTATGCCAGCGTTTGGTATAAATCTGGTTGGGAAGGATCATTTTTAATTGTGATATTCAAAGGATATATTCCAGTTTCCATATTCATCTTTGGCAGTGCTGCCCCTTTTTCTGTTGTGTGAGATGTTTGGTTGAGAATGTTTAAAAAAAAAATGATAAAACTCAGTGTTACTCTTTGCCATTGGTTTAAAAACATTGCTCCCCAAAAGAAGAGAATGGTTAACCTTTCCCTCATGGGAGAAAGTTCTTAATGAAAAATCTTTAATGCACTCTGGCAAACTGGTAAGCAGGATCCCCAAAGCCAGCGATATTAACTAGATCATCCATCTGAATGCTATAGTTTTTCCTTAATTTAGTAATACAAAAAAATGTGTTGATTTGTTGAAATTATTGTTAAGAGTAAAATTGTACAGTTAATCTGCTTGATTTACATGCCTAATGCTGTTCTGTTCTGTGAAGCACGTTTTGTTTCCTCTCCCATTTTATGTATCTGAAAATGAAGATTTATTTTTATGTAATGGCATCATTTTTCTTTCAGATATAGGGGAAAGAATTCATTCCTGACTCTTTTAACTTCAAAATAAATATTTTTTTAAACAGGTGGAACTACTGCATCAACCCATTCCTTTACAGGAGACCTTCACGTTTTCATATCTTATTCAGCATTATTTGCTTGCTTGCTTGCTTGCTTGCTTGCTTGCTTGTTTGTTTGTTTGTTTGTTTGTTTATTTATTTATTTATTTATTTATTTATCATTCATCTACCTACCTATCATTTATTTATCTCAGCAGTTGCCTTAATTTTAAATCATGCGTATGGCACTTTTCCAATCATGATTTTTCATCCATTGGGCCTTTGCACCTTTCTTTCTTTCTTTCTTTCTTTCTTTCTTTCTTTCTTTCTTTCTTTCTTTCTTTCTTCCTTCCTTTCTTCCTTCCTTCCTTCCTTCTTTCCCTCCCTCCCTCCCTCCCTCCCTCCCTCCCTCCCTCCAGGGATAAAAATACCCTATGACTAAAGCTGAATTGCCTGTTCAATCCTTGTTGAGTTAAGAGAATTATTTAGAAACTTGGGTCCAAATTTTTTGTATGTGACTAGCATAGCACAAAGCAGGAACATATTCCATTTCAAGGGCATTTCTAGGCTTTGCACAATTTGTTGATGGATTGGACCTATTTGGAGAGCGCAGTTTCAGAATTGTAAGAAGGAAAATGTGCACATTGAGCATTAGCAAACTCTTCTCCCAAAAATATATATTAAAAAGAGTATTTTTACCTTGTCATTTTTAGATGCTAAAATAAGGTCTATATGACCTTATGGAGTGGTAAGTGTAGTCCTTCTTTCTCTCGTATGACAGTGTTCTAATTGTCACTGGTGATCTGAAGTGCCACATTGCAGGCCAGACATTCAGTTTAGTTCTAGAACAGAGTTTCTTAACCGTAGCAACTTTAAGATGGGTGAACTTCAGTTCCCAGAATAAAGGGACTTGAAGTCCACACATCTTAAAGTTGTCAAGGTTGACAAACACTGTTCTAAAGTGTCTTGTGCCTCATATTAAAATAGTCCATTGATTCATTTCCCGTTTGCTTCCTGGTTCTTAAGCCCATTAGTGTTTCACTTCGTGGCATTTTTGCATTCAAGTAAATTATTTTGTTACACCATAGCAAGTCAGCCACTACTATCTTCACTTGTCAGAGGCGCTAACCATACCTCGAAATATCTGCAATCAGATCTGCGTTCTTGAATTCTGTTCTTTCAGCAAATCATAAAGTTACAATTAGCAGGATTAGTGGTTTATATCTAGCATCCAGTCTAGATACATTAGGATTATAACATTTGAGTTCTGTAGTCCAGACATATCTCAGAGACCCCAGGTTGAGAAAGGCTGTTCTTAGACATCCATCTTTTTACAACAAACCCATCAAATTGTGTGACTGCTATCTTTAACATCAGTGACCAGCAAGTAGAGCAATTACAGAATAAAAGAGTTAGGAAGGAACCTTAGAGGTCTTCTGGTCCAACCACCTCCTCAAGCAGGACACCCTATGCCATTCCAGATAAATGGCTGTCCAATCTTTTCTTAAAAAATCTCCATTGATGGAGCAAATTTCTCCTTTTGATTATCTCCTTGATTAGTTTCCATCCATTTGCTTCTTTTTAATCTTCCCTTTAGAAATCCATTGGCTAGTTTCATTAATGGGCCACCATATACCAATAAATTTCATCAAATTTAGACCATTCCAGAGAATTCCAGAATATTCTCTTTCCCTCATGCCACACATCTGGACCATAATGTTCCTGTTTCTTTTGGAACATAGAAGTTGGAACCCCTTGAACAACTTCTGGTGAAGTAGATATATATCTGAAAACCACTGAACTGCTCCCAGGATTGTCATGGTTTAGGGGGAAACAACATTCTGGATTCTCTGGAACAGTCTGTTCCGGATAATGAATTTTACACATACCTAAACTGAAGATATTTCTCCCTTCTTGATGTATGGACTTGTATCTTCTTAACCTACACTAATATTTTTCCTTTACAGGCTTTCTCCTTTTTTAGGAATGATTTCGATTATGGACAACTGGATAATCTATTTAATAAGAGTTTGTTTATGTTTTTTTTCCTTCTTTCTAAAGGGAAGCGGTACCTGTGAGCTGTTCCAGCAGAACCCCTTATTACTAATCTTTTCCTTTTTTCCAGGCTCTTCTAGTTTTCTCTGAGTGGTAGTAGTAGCTTGGTAATAGTTGTCATGTAGTAATAGTGTCAGACTTGTGAAACCTTGCTTACTGTTACTGAGTGTGATCCTTCCTAACCTGTAATGCTGTGAAATACTAGATATGCCTATATAGAACCAGAAATGCTGTTTCAATGTGTTGTGCTTTAATCTGGACTGTGATATGTTTGCTGGGACAAATGCAGTAAGATCTGTCGTACTAGTGACTCAGTGGGGGTGGGTGAGTAGGGGTGTATGGCCTCATGTTTTGACAGTATTCGCTAGCCAAATCACTTTACAACTCATATTGTGAGATGTACTCTTTGTGCATTTTATATGCCATTTCCTTTCTTGCTTTAGAACCATTGTCTACAGAGTTTGTTGTTACACTGTGGAAACTGCTTTACAAATCTGTGATTCATGATTTTCATGCTTATAAACTGATTCCGTTAACTGTGTTTTTCA